AAAGTGCTTACTATCTAATAAACTTAATGCATGCTCATTATTATTTATGATGTTTTAATACTAACAACAGCAAAGTTTTACCAATGAGAAAGTATTTGTAATTATGTCCTTGTGCTTTTTTCTTTCAAAAAGTGAAAATTCCAATGTATACGTACTATAACTATCATAAAATTATGTATGTTTTTAAAGGCATTCTATAAACCACTATGCAAGCTCATGGTCTAGGTCAGTGGTGGCAGACCTACAGCACACGGGCCACAGAGGGTTGTTCGTTCTCACTGAAAGATCTAAAAATTTCACTAACACTGCTCTAGGTAAAACATTTACGGAGTCATTCACTGACATGAACGCATACTGCAAGCGGTCCTATTTGGTCCTTTCTTGGGAAATGAAAAGCAGTATCTCTCACCCAGAGTACCTCTTGTGCGCCAAGAGGAAGTGGGAAACTATATAAGCAATTATTATTTTCTTGAGAAAGTGAAGGCAGATAGGAATAAAGCTCAGAATGTGGACTCATGTAGATGAAGCAGCTACAAAAGGAAACTCCAGGATTTGAGCTCAGTTCTGTTCGTTATCTCCTAGTACAAGGGCTCCCTCTGCAGGCTCCCACAGCCTTCAGATTTTTACGTGGGGAGCTGAAACCAGCCATGCAGGAACTTGTTTTGATTTCCTTTACTGGAGGATGTCACCGCATACACTGAAAAAAAACCACAAAGCAGAAATCCCACAGGCAAACACGCCTCTTCCTAGATACCAGTAGTCCTCATCATGGTGGGACTGATACCGCCACGTGGCAAATTGAGACTTGTTCACCGTGCCTTTGCTTACGTCACCGGATGTGGCCTAACAAAATTCGTGGTTCGTGGAACACGAGAAGACAGGATGCAGTGTGAGAGGCCCGTGCGTGGCGGGGAGGTGCCTCTCTGTGAGTCCGCAGCTCACTAAATGCCAGATGTTCCCATCTGTATTGAAAGTACAACCTTCATTTTATGTTATGGACCAGCTCTAACATACGCAGAATGTTAGACCTTGGTTTCAAGCCAATCTGTTTCAGAAAAGCATAGGTATGTATTAGTTTATGTTCTCACTGAAATATAAAACGCAAAAAGATTATTTTGATTGACAGACTAAACGTAGCTACGTGTCAGCAATTCTCTGGATAAGGATGGACGACTTGTTTGAGGTAAATTCAGAAGGACCACACATGCCATGGAGTCACATCTTAAAGCTCACTGGCCAAGGCTCCAGGATGGAGAGGATACTGAGGGACCTTCAGGGTCAGCCACCTTATAGCAGGCTACCTTCAGACTCCCCCAGTGTTGGTGTAGGGGAACAGGTGAGAGAATAGGGAGACAAAATGAATAACAGAACAGCGTTGGCAAAGATGGTGTAATATGAACTCAGAACTTATTTCAACTGCTTTTCCTGCTGCTTTTGCATCTGGTGTGTGTGTGTGTGTAATATGATACTAATTGAGAAAGAGGTTTTAATTAAAATCATCACAAGAAAAATATTACAAATTAAATAACAGTCTGTCCAATTCTGTCTTAAAAATACTACTATGCAAAAACAACTGTCTTTCTATATCCTTACTAGACAAAAGTATGTAACATTTGATATGGACCAAGAATACATGAAACAGGGGCCGGGGAAATAGCTCAGTGGCACAAGCACCTGCCTGGCAAGGGCAAGGTCCTGAGTTCGATTTCTGGAACCAAAAAAGAAAAAGAATACATGAAACACATGAACATCTTACTGATGGTGTTCATGAACTCACGTGTTTGTCCCCTTTGTCCATTTAAATAATCTTTTAAATCATGTTACTCAGTAAGAGTATCCATTTCAATAATACTTCCTCATGTCACTGGTGAGATTTTTGTTGGGTATGGTTCAGGGATTTTTAAAAAGGTGATTTTAACAATTGATTATAAAATTATTAAGCACATATGAAAATAAAAAGATTTACTTTTTTTTTATTCCCTTTATAATAAAAAAAGAAAATAAAAAGGCAAATGGGATGAACTCCCTCCTAGTGATCATACTTCTTCTCCCACATGGAGTAGATCTTTTCTTATCTGTACCCCACTCTTCTTCTCTTCAGTGTGTTCTGAAGCAATCCCCAGGCATCAACCATAGAAAACGTTGGTATTTGCCTTTCAAATATTATGGCTTTGGTCCAAAACTTAACTGTAGCGTTGTTATTGGACTTAGAGAAATACTACCAACGCCATATGTAGCAAATATCCAGTGCTCCAATTTTCCAGTTTCTCTTATAAATTTAAAAAAATTATTAGTACATGTGTGCAGTACATCATGATTACATTCATGGTGGGGAACTGGTTCGTAAGTTTTCTTATAGTTGGTTTGTTGGAACTAGGATCCAAGTGATGCCCAAATAATTGCATTTGGTTGAGACGCCTCTGAGGCCTCTTACAGTCACAGTTTACTTCTCCCTCGCTCTCTTCCCTTGCACTTTCTTCATCGGTGTTATTTGTACTTGAGGATTTTGCTGATGCTAACTCCATGGCGCTTAAGGCATCTCTCATCGTCTATTTTTGTAAACCGGAAGGTCTAGAGACCCATTCAGATCCAGGTGCAGTTTTTGTTGCTAGGGTATTTTTAGGTGGGGCTGTGTATTCTTCAGGAGGCACATGGTGTTCAGCTACATCCTTTCTTCCCTCCTATTGAATCTTGGAAAGGCAGTGAACAAGAACACGGGAGAGGAAGCTGCCGTAGGTAGGTGTGCAGTTGGGGCGAAGGAGACGATTATTTCTGGTAAAACATTCCATAGTTCTAGGCAATGTCTGTTAATCTGTGTTTACCTGTGTTCTGCTTTGCTAGGGTGTTTGGGTGTCAAAAGACTTGGATGAGAAATAACCTGTCTTTTTAAAAAGGTAGCAAAGTGTGTGAATCTGTCAGGTGAGGTTGGAAGCCCTCAGCAGGCAGTGAATGTACAGGCTCCTCAGAGATAAGAAAGAAGAGGTCGCACAAATGCACATAACCCGGGCATTCATGGTCCCTATTTGGAGCTCTTGATGTAGGAGCCATCGTTTAAGCTGGGAAGAACCTGGGGTCACTCAGGCCTGGGAGTCCGTAGGAGAGAGCAGTTAAACATAATTGGTACCTGGAGCCTCAAAACCTGCTCAGTTTTACTGATAAGTGGAAAAGACTGAGATAGGAGATTAGAACCATAAAAGTAGTCTGTCTGCAAAAGAGTAGTATATGATCTGAAAGAGATTAAGTCAGCAATAAAATGTGATTCAAAAGTTCTTGCTGTTCTTTGAGTTTTATCTAGAAGTACTTTATACCCACTCGAGGTTAACCCATATTCCGCACACCCACATACAGTTAATCCATGCTCTTAACCTTGGCGCGTGGCAACCACTAGCCTATTTTTGTCCCTACAAATTTACCTTTGCTGGACATTTCAGCTCAGTGGAGTTAAACAATATGCCTGATATCTTTCACTGAAAATAATGTTTTGGGGGGTTCACCCATCTCATAGTATGTGTCCCTAGTTCATTCCTTACCACATTTCGTCTATCCGTTCACTGGTTCACGGGCATTAGATATTTCCACCATGAATTATGAGCTGCTATGAATAAGGCAGCTAAGGACATTCAGATGCAAGACTTTCTGTGACATGTGTTTTTATTTTCCTTGGAGGCACACCTTAGAGCGAAATTCCTGGGTCATGTGGTAAATGCACATGAAACTTTAAAAAGATCTACTGAACTGTTTTCCAAAGGGGCTGTAACAGCTTAATAGTGCAGGGAATGTTCCTGTTTGTCTATAGCCATCTGACCCAGCTTCTAATATTTGTACAGATATCGCCAAACTTTAACTTTCCTTTAACAAAGCAGGTCGGCAGCTTACTGACATTTACCAAGTACCTGCCCTGTTCTAGACCTTGTGATAGGAAGACTCACATGCTTTCGTGTTTCATTCTTATCACTGTGAAATGTAGATATTATTTTCTACATATCTGGTGTACTTGTGTATTTACTGAGGTTCAGGGCACTTAGCTAAACTAGTCATCACTGTAATGCAGAATTCCTGTAAATATTAAATTATATCAGATAGCACACACACAAACATGCCTAGCATAGCCTTAGGCATACGGAAGGTAACTAATAAAGACTTTTTATTTTCCTTTTCTTTCCATCATTTGCTTCTTAGGAAGGTCTAACCAGAGGGTCTGACCCACCTTCTTCGGGTCTTGCTGCTTTCCTGGTAATAGTTGTGTGTGACAAAGCTCCTTGGAGGAACCAAGAAGACCTTATAGAATTTGCCAGGTAGTCCCAATCACAGTTAGTAGCACACATATCATAAAGCCAACCCCTAAGTCAAATAGTATACTCTGTTGATTGAAATAATAAAAGCAACTAGTTCAGGATGTAATTACATCTCTTAACAACTTCCTTTTATTCTTTTTTTTTGTTCTCTGTTCGTAATAGCAGTAAGTACTCTTCAAATTCTAAGGAAGGAGATCTGGAAAAGTATATATTAATGTTGCCAAGAAGGTAACTACCTTGATTGATTTGAAAGGGACCTTTATTAGTTGTTTTAAAGATTGTAGGATTGGCAAAAAGAAATAAAACAAGTGATAAGACATGTCAAAATAGGAGAAAAGGGTTCAGTTAATGTTCTAATTAAATTCAAGTTTCTAGAATATTGAAATGTATAATTGAATATGCATATTTAATGAAATATTATGCAGTATAAAGTTTTTTTAAAAATCAGTAACCTGGGGGCTGGGGATTTAGCTCAGCAGCAAAAGCGCCTGCCTGGCAAGCGCAAGGTCGTGAGTTCAGTTCCCGGTACAGGAGAAAAACAAAAACAAACAAACAAAAAAAAAGTACTAAAGTTTAGGGGCTGGGGATTTAGCTCAGAGGCAAAAGTGCCTGCCTGGCAAGCGCAAGGTCGTGAGTTCGGTTCCCGGTACCAGAGAAAAACCAAAAAAAAAAATCAGTAACCTGTCATTCACTATATCTTTTCAGGGAGAGCCTGGTGCCAGAGGCCCTCCAGGTCCCTCTGGGCCTCGGGGCATAGGAATCCAAGGGCCAAAGGTGAGTCTTCAAGTCTGTGCTCTACATGGGGGATAGAATCAGGGTAAGCATCCCTAACCTGAAAATCCAAAATTTGAAATGTGTCAAGTCCCCAGATTTTGGAGCACTGTGACAGAGTCTGAGTTGGAAGAGTAGAAGGTCTATGTTGGAAGCCTAGAGATGGACATTGGAAGTCTAAAGACGAAGGCAAAGATTAGAGCTCCTCCAGAGAAAGGGAAGCGAGACTTCCTTCTTTCCCTTTTTATTCTATTCAGGCCACAAGCCTATTGGTTGGTGCCACCCACACTGGGGGTGGGTCTTCCCTGTTTGGTGAACCTGTCATCCAGTCCCAGAACTGTGTTAAGCCAATCAGCTGGGCATTTCTTACTCAAATTGACACAACAGTTAACTATCACACAAGCACCAACTTGATACTGAAAATAGAAATTTTCACATCTGACCTCCTGGGACAAGTGGTAGTCCCAACCCAAGTGCACTAAATATATTATCTAAAAATATCTTCAGGCTACATTTATAGGAAACCTAAATGTGTTTTGTGTTTAGAGTTCAGTCCCATTTCCCAAATGCTTCTTATATTTATCAAATATTCCAAAATTTAAAGAAACCTAAAATCTGAAACACTTTTGGTCCAAGCCCTTCTAATAGGGATACTCAACCTGTACTATTACTGCCAACCAAGTAAACAGTAGTTTCATAGTAAGTGTTCACTTTGGTGTTAACTGCTCTTTCTTGACTACTGATGCAACAATCTTGTTTTCCCACATTTTCTGAAATTTTAGGAAAAGAATATTTAAATTTATAGAGCTATGTACTTCCCACAAAGAATTTAGAAAGTCAGCCTCTCTGAAGTAGTAGCAATGTGCTCAAAATATTTATAAGTTTCTTAGAGTCTGTTTTATCATCAAGAGCATATGTTTGCTTTGGCCAGAGGTGACCTAGTTACTCTTACTGGATCACTGGCTAAGATATTGTGCCTCTGTGCTGTGGCCAGACTGGCAGATCCTCAGTGCAAGGCTCTAGAATTATTGTCAATTATTGTCAATTTGCAATGAGCAAGACTTCCTCTTACAATCAGAAAAATAGTTTTTTTTTTTCATATCAGAAAAAACAATACTAACAAATGAATCCACCATTTCTCAAAGAGTCTTCCACTCAGTATTAATTCAGGGACTTCTGAGTTAAGTAAGTTAATTTCCCTAGTGCCTTTACATATAGTCATATACCACATAACAGTGTTTCAGACATGTCATTCTGCATATGAGGTGGTCCTGTGAGAACTGTATCACTTAGTGACATCATACACTCTATGATGTTTATGCAACAAAGCTGTGGCCCTGGCATACATTTCTAAGAACTGAATGCTAAGTACAGCTCTAAGGCTGTAGGGATGTGCACCGGAGAACTCCACAGGGTGCTAAGTATTGTTTTCTGATCAGATTCCACCCAAGAAATCTTTCCTTAATAAACATGGGTTCAGCTTATGAGCTCACACTGGAAGATGTTCTATTCACTTGTTGCTGCATATTTTCTTTCTTTTTTAAAAAATTAATTAAGTTTATTGGTATAATAACTTGATAATAATTAACTTAATGATAATAATTAACTTAATTATAATAACACAATGATCACATTTATCATACGGAATTTGTACCTGTAGATGATGTCTTGATTCTTTTTTTCCCCATTACCCTCCCCTCTTCCTCTCCTTATTTACAAAAGCTTTGTTTCCATTTTTTCCTTCTTTTCTCATTTTTTTCTTTTCCCTTCCTTCTTTTCCCCTTCCCCTCCCTAGTTCTCCTTCCCATTTGAACATTTTCTTCCTATTTCACAATACCTATTACACATTTCAGCCCTTATTTCTACTTTTAGTTTCTCACACCAGAGAGACAATGCAGGATTTACATGTGTGTCCAATTTATTCCACTTACAAGTATGATTTTGGGATGCATCCATTTACCTAGAGATGTCTCAAGTTTATCCTTCTTTATGACTGAGTAGTACTCCTTTGTATATAAAAAAACACATCTTCTTTATCCATCCATCAGTGGATGGGTGTTTGGGCTGCTGCTACATATTTTCATAATAATCTAACACCAGTTCTCAGCAATAGCCACTGAATCTTTAAGAGCAGTCCCAGGAACTCCCCACTGAAATGGAGCAACATGTTACCAGGCGCACACGGCATCCTGCGTCCATGCTTTTAGACTCAGTGTGCGGCTGCCTGCTCTTTAGGGTTAGGATATTTGAAGGAGTCAAGCAGGAACTGCTGGCCTCCACTTCTGTTTATCCCACACAGCACTGTCTTATCCTTTTAAAAAAATATTTGCATTATGTGTAAGATTTTGTTTGCAAGCAATTTGACTGAACTAAATAATATATTTAGAAAAATTCTGCTTTAAATGAAACATGAAATTGCTCATGGACAGAGAGAAGGACCTGGTCAGACTGAAGTAAGGATGGAGCTGAGAGCAGTAATATTTATTTTTTTCCTTCCTCAGTCTTCTTATGCTTTGTCCTTAATTTCTTCCCATCTTCCCACAGGGTGATATTGGACAGAAGGGCTTGCCTGGCCCTCCTGGGCCACCGGGCTATGGATCCCAAGGAATCAAAGTAAGCACACGTGGTTGTGTTATAATCATCTCTCAAGTCAGCAGTGAGATTGGGAGAAGAAGCTGTGGGTAATACACAGTATGGCAATTGTGAAATGGATTTAATGTAAGGTTAGCAGTGAAAATTGCATCCAATATTTAAAGACATCATCCAGAAGTGTAGAAATGGAATAAGTACCATAGTTCCACAAAGGCTAACTATTACACAGATTGTTCAATGAAAAATTGAACTATTTGTTGTTCTTGGGTTCTCAGAAAAATGGAGACTTCATGTCCAGCTTTGCATTCTCTATCTCTCTTTCACCTGCCTCACCTGCCCTCCTCTCCTGTATGTTCCCTTCATAGCCAGGGGTAGGGGGAGAGAGGGCAGGGAGCGGGGAGCTTCCCAGTCTTAGCGCACAAAGGATCACCCAATGTTATTCTTAATAACACTGATACCCAGCCCCAGAAGGTAGGAATCGTCATCGCTGAGAGGAAAGTTTGACCATTGTGAGTTTAAAAGTTCCTCAGTAGAACTCACAAATATCTTCTTTCTGGTTTATTTCTGCTTTATTTTTGCTGGATAACAACAAGTCTATCTAGCAAGGTGTCTCACTGGACAAAATTTGGTGTCCAAAAGTTACCAGGTACTTTAACCAACTAATTACCCTTTCTCCATTTTTTTTCCCCAGTTTTTGAGACAGGGTCTCACTATGTAGCCCTGGCTGGCCTTCAGTTCGTGGGGGTCCTTGTGCCTCAGCCTCCCAAATGCTAGGAGTATAGGCGTGTGCCGCCACACCCAGTCCCTTTTTCCACTTATAATACGTGGATTTTGTTTTTAAATTGGCTCACTTCTCCTCCCCGCTTATAATTGGTATTTATAATCATGGCTAAGCTTTGAGACTGAGTAACTGATAACTGTACACAATTAAGGTTGATTCTAAAACATGGAAATATTCAAAGCACACTTTTACAAATAGCAGAACTTCTCAGTAAGCAGAAGCCAGAAGGAACCTAAGATGATCAATGTCCAAGTCCTGCGTTGGCATTAAATGCATACTCCTGCACAGAGAAAATGAGCTAAGTCAAAAGCAAAGCTCAGTGAATCTGTGTTAAATCTTCTAATCCAGTCATGGCGAACCTTTTAGAGTTTTCAATGATAACAAACGGCCCACTGCGGCTCATGTGCGGTAGGTTTGCCACGACTGTAAATCTAATCTATCACACCGTGCCCAGTGTTTTCATGGGGTTTTAAAATACCAGTTGTTCGTCTGTCAGGGTGTGTATACAGGCAAAGACTGGACAACATGTTGCTCAGAGCATATAAGCTCTGGAAAGTAAAGCAAAACTCTGCTTCTGTATAAACAAGATCATTCTCATCCTTAATCCTAAAATTTTACATTTAAAAGATGGTCACACTCTCACAGAGCTACCAGACCAACCTCCAGGACATCAGAGCTCATAAATGAAGGGAAACTCGATCCACACAACCTCTTTCCTCTCTATATTCTGACCTTGGAACCTGGTTCTTTCTTGTGGTGTACATTTGGATGAATTATTTATCTTTATTGAACCTCAGTTTACTCATCTTTAAAATGGGGATCAAGAAATACAAGGTGTTGTGAAGATGAAATTGTACCAAACACCTGGTATGCGGTAGTGGGTACTCAACCATCTTAGACTATGGTGCCAATAGATTTGAATTGTGGCTTTTCTACTTCCTGAATCCCAGCTTCCCTGTTTCTTTGCCTCAGTTTCCATATCTGAGTAATGGATATAATAACTGTTTCCCAAAGTTGTAATGAAGCATAGCTGAAATTAAAAAAATAGCGTATATTATTTTAATAATGGATAGATATCTATTAAATATTTGCATTTTCACATCATTATGATACCCTTTTTTCCTTTCCTCTCTACTATTTCATGGTATTTTCCAGGAGGAAGGTTTAGGATCCCAACGTTCATTTGATTCAGTGTTCTTAAACATAGTATATTGGTTGTATTAGTCAGTGTAGGCTTGAATCCAGGGTTACATAGACCCCAGTGGGTCACATAACTGTCCAATAAGCGTTTCTGCTTGGTGGGCAGGTTTTTTTGTACGTGAACTTTTGAGGAATCTTGTCTTCCATTTCTAGCTCTTCCATTGGCTGGGCCTTTTTACCACTTCCACCTGCAGAAAAAGAGCATGTGAATGGCACACCTGCTTCCTGAGAGTCCTGGCCAGGTTCGCTTTGCTCATAGTTGAGTGGAAGGCTGGGAAGGGTAATCTGCAAACTCAGGAAGAAGAGGAACTGACGTTGTGAGCACGAAGTACCTTCAGGCACAGTTTAACCCATTTCCAGCAAAGATGTAAAATTTAAAATTATGTGTTGCTCTAAGTATACTGGTATTTTGAGAAAAGAATGAAAATATAAGTGGTCTCCATAGCAACTTCCAGAATACCCCATCATTCTCCTGATGGTGTGAAGGAACGGTCCCATCATTTCTTTTTTCCTATCCTACAGAGGAAAATCAGTTTCAAGAATACCAGTGGATGACTTTTTGTCTGAGAAGACCGGCTGCGCGGCAGCTAAAAAAGGAGCCTTGGAGTTAGTAGGACCAGGAAAGTAACAGGAAGTACTTGCTTGTGTCATGCAAAGCCATGGCTGAGAAGGGGGGACTCCCAGCATCTGGTAGGAGAGCTGTGGTTCAGAGGGTGGGGAAAGAGGGTAGGCACCCGAGGAGAGGCTGATGTCAGGAGATGAAGCCAGAAAGGAGGCTTGTGGGGACCCAGGGGAGGGCTGGAGTCCTGAGGGATTCCTTCAGATACTAGCCTTCGAGGCCAGCAGGCTGTGGTAGTGGAGGGGTTAGCCCAGCTTGCAGGGGAAGTAGTTTCTCCGGGCATAACTGTCTGATTTGGGAATCCAGGACAGAATGCAAAATGCTATAAGATTCTTGGTTCGGTATTTAATATTCACATCATTTCCTAACTAGGGTTCTTTAATTTGCCTCAGTTGCACCAAAATATGAGTAACTATTTGCATAACTTCTAGCTCTCTTTTAACTGAATCAGGTAGTTTTGCTAATTCTGGTGTCCCTTCAACAAAAAGAAAGAACGTCAGGGTTCTGTAGTGGAACTGTCTCAGAGAGCCTTCTCCTTAGCTCTTACCTATGGCTTGAATGCTTTGAATGTGTTTCCGGGATCCATTTGACAAGATTTGTGGTTAGAATGGACCTATTACAGCACAGAAAATTGCCCACCTTAAAGGCTAAAGAGAAATGATTTATTCATTGAAAAAAATTGACTTAAGGAGAAAAAAAGGATCTCACTTTATAATAAGTCAAGGGTAGGTTTAATATATACCGAGTTGCATTTCTGCAGAGAGGTTAAGAAGAATTGATATTAATATTTTTTTGGCCTCTAAACTCAAGCCATGCCCTATGACAGTGTAAATAGTATTCAGAAGCAACATTCACAGACACACACCTGCACACTCATATTTTAATATTAAGACTTGGTGATGTTTTAATTTAAGGTTTTCTTTCCTTCTTCAGGCTGCAAACAAATAAACAGCAATTTAAAAAAACAAAACTAATCTCGGTAATTGTACCATCCCTGCATTCACTCAATCTGCATACATCTTAGGAATTAAGTAGAAATGATAAGCAATATAATCATTACTTACAACTATTAGGTTGTATGTGCTTATTACAGAAACTGTTTTTGTAGTATATGCTTATTGTTGTATATGCTTTTGTTGTATATGCTTATTACAGAAACTGTTTTGAAAGCTGTGGTACTTCTCCCTTATTGTAATTTTCCAAAGCACACAGCGATTATTCTGCTTAAAAAGTGAAACAAAAGTCCCAAGAAAGGTTTCAACTTCTGAATAGTTTGGTCTTTGGGTGTTATACCCCCCACCAAGACTGGCAGGGAAGGCGGTGGCTAAAAATTGAACCTAGTAATCAAAGTCTATCAACCAAGTTTCCACACGGAAGGCACCCCACACCTTTACACCTTTATTTACTTTTAAACCAAAGTGAAAACAATTGCACAAACTATAAATCAACCCCAAAGTGCTGAATCTGCAGTCACCTGACACATACAGATTGCCCACCTCTGGGAAGGTTGATGTTGTTCAGTAGGGCTGCATCTATGTAGTTTTCACTTGCTGGGTCCCATTTTTATTTGACTTTAGGAGCAAGCCGTTTTATTCCTTCAAGCCAGTGAGAAAGAAAGATGCTTCTCCCCTTCCTTCCTTCCTCCCTCCCCCTCCCTCCCTCCCTCCCTTCCTTCCCTGAGTCTGGGGATGTGATAATGTACCTTCCTCTCTCAATTTCATATTAAAATTTCTTTTTAAAAAATAACTAATTCCCTCAATCAGAATTGGCATGAAAACTTGAGGCTTTAAATTTAGTGGGTCTTGAATCAACATTCTCCCCAGCCTGTCTTGTGTGCTTATTTACTGTGAGCAAGGCCCTACTCCATGACCAAGGAGCAAGACAGATTAGCTTAACTTCTGCCACCCTCCTTACATGGCTATAAACCTAGAAGGAAAAATAAATTTTCAAATTATTTTTTTCCCACAGTGAATATGGTACCCTAACCCAGGGTTTACTGTGACTGCTTAACTCCAAAAGACAAATCATGAAGATGCTATTGACTTGGTCATGAACATAAAGCACCATGTCCTGATCCTAAATTTTTTTGTAATGAAAAATCACCCAAACTAGAAAGTTATATGAAAAATTTCACTCAAGCAGCTATATAGTAAAGCTCATCATACTATAACAGTACATGATTTGTATGTGCAATAAGCCAGTCTTAACTGGTCTTTCCTTCCTTTCTTTGTTTCTCCCATCCTACCCACCCGCTCCAAATATATAAAGATATAGAATTTATATATATTTATTCCATTCAATTCTTATAACAGGTAGCATCCATAGAAAAGCAAGTTGAGTGAAAGGTATGGATAAATTACTTTGGGCTGCTATTACTGTCTTTCTAGCCCACGAATTTCACCAGTGGGAATTTATAATAGG